AGCCAGGGAAACATTCTCTATTCTGATACGTGCTCTTTATGGACTAAGCATGTTCATGAAATTCCAGACGTTGCCCAATAGTAGAAAATGGCAAGCTATGCTCCATTGTACATTCTCCCCAAGAACCCCTAACCTTCAATGACGCTAAAGTTTATCATTCATGGTATAAAATTAGGGTCTATGCTTGAAGAGTGCCGAACAATGTAAGGATAACCACTTAACTATGTATTTTCCTTCATGTTCAGTAATTACTCTTTTGAGCACCCAAACTCTCATATTCTTCTGCTGTTACCATATATGTGTACCTCCTATCATCCTCCTGCTTGAAACACATGCTGACAACAGTAGGAATGACTGATTTATTTCGGTCTCCGACTCTGCGTGCTTCACTGAATCTTATTCACCTCACTTCTAGTGATAATAATCCTAAATTCTTTTATTTGCTAAACCAAACCCCCCATGATTGGGCAAACGATCATATTATTTCAAAATACATCATGATGATCTTTTCTCAACCAGAATATACAACGAGGAACAAAAGTTCTATTCTATGGGAGCTGTCAGTTAATAAAAAGAAATGCACCAGCATTTTTGGTAAATAATTAAGCTGCAGATCAGCCAGAACTAGTGAAACGGAAAGCGACATAATGACATCAGCAAAGCACCTAACGCCAAAGAGATTCTTTTTTCAAGGAATGCACTCTCTAATTGGACAAGCTGAGAAGTAACCTGTGCGCTACCACTCACCATTGACTGCCACAATACAACAATCCCAACTTTTTTTTTTTTTGGTTGAGCAACAACAATCCCATCTTGACCATAACAAAAGGTTTTCTAACAAATAAAAAAGTAATGTAAGCCAACATACGGAGGGAATACCGAATTTTCTGTTGCCACGCGTAAACTACCATGTATGGAACAACCAGCCCCTCCTCCCATGACAATGCCATTCAATATTGAAACCTTCATTAAAACCAGCATGTGAAAAGTAAGACTGAACATGTAAGTTCAAATGAAGATTCCCTAGATATACCGACATCGATGTCGCTATTATGAACTCCCAAACAGATACGCATGACAATATCAGATTACCTGAGGTTTACTGTATGTGGCCATCAGATAATTTAAAGTAAACACTTTCCAAGAGACAATTGCACATGACTTCCAATTTCCTAGCACATTAATAAAAACCAAAATTATCATCGACATACGTTTTCCAAGTCTGAATGAGCACCATATAAATTGCATATAACAGAGATCAAGCCTGGTCTGAAACTGATGGACGGCATGATCTTTTTCAAAGGTTAACGAAGGATGGATTGACAAGGTTGACGTTATAGACAAGTGAAACTTCACCTTGAGACAAGGGAGAACTGGATGCTTAAGTGCATCTACTTATAGCGGGATATAAGTACAGTTTGGCCCTATTTCTGATTCACAGTCAGTATGAGATGAAACATAAAACAACTAAAATGATATGTACCATTGTTGATATCATGCACAAGAGCTGCAACATCACCACCGGCACAAAAAGCTCTCCCCTTGCCCTACAGAAACAAGAACACCAACAAAACAGTCAACACCGAGCTAAGAAAATATGTAGGATTTCCAAATTGAGAAAACAAATTATGAAAAGAGAAATTGTAACAGTAGCTAATGGCCACAAGATCTAACAATGTCAAGCTATTATTAAGGTCTTACAATCTAAATGAGCCAACAATTGTCTCCTCAATGACAATGAATGCCAACAAGACCAATCTGACAGGCGATGTTAAACATGAGAAAAGTATGGCTGGGTAGCATAAATAGATGGAACTCTTCATTGTAGCTGACATGAAGTACTTCAATCACAGACTTCGTTGTAGCTAACGTGAATTACTTCAACGACAGACATCTTTAGGTTGTTGACCTTTCCAAAAGAAACAACAATGCACAATTTCTAAACAGCCAACAATAATGTCGAAGCTAAAGTCCACCCCCTGCAACTCAGAACCAGACATTGGAAAGGCCATCAAACTCCAAAAAGCTCCAGAAATCTATATGTTTTTTTTTTTCATTTTGCATACCACTAGTCCCCATGTTTATGATGTGTTACCCAAAAAATAGGTCTTCAACAAAGTCAAAGAAGGTAACAAAGTTACAAAACATAATATACCTTGCTGCTCAAGCATGTTAATAAACTGACTATACATTTTTTAAAACACACACAAATGAGCACACAACCCTAAAGGGTACACCAGCAAGAGAAATTTCACCAAAATACCAATCTTCTAGCAACCAAAAAAATCTATCAAACTCCCAAAAGACTATGAAGGCTGATAATTCTCATGTTTCTATTAGTGCAAATTCAACAGCTCTTAACAGTCATAAAAAATGCTTTCTAGGAAGCAATGTACCTTTAAGATTACCAACTTCACGTTAGAATCCTTCTCATAAACAAGGAAAAGTTCCAATAACCGAGATATCTGCGAATAAAAGCAACAAACAGTTATACAATAGCCACGTTAGCAAACAAAGCTTAATTAACGACGTGAACTATTGAGGTTTGACACAAGAAAGAGAAGTCACCTACATGTACTTAAATTATTTGAAATGACAACAGAACCCAACTGCCAACAGGGTGACTATCACAATAAAAACAAAAAGGCATAGAACAATAAACAATGGTACTACTGCATGACAATTCCCCAGAAATATTTTGGCGGATGCAAGAAAAAGAAGCTATATAGGCTGAACTTGCTTCAAAGAGACTCACATAACTTATGCAGGATTTACAACATCCTTGACATGTATCTGGGCATTGCCTGATTTGGGTCTTGATCTCATAGTCCTTTCATTCCCTATGACCTTTTGTCATGCGTGCTTCCAAGTTTGCATAAAAGTGCACATTCCTTTTTGATTAGGGAAAGAATAAAAACCCAAAAAAATAACCCCATGCAACACCTCCAACCAAGCAGTAAGAGTGAAGGAAGACCCAACAACTGCACAGAGTATCCGGCAGCCAGATAAGAGACACACCATATAACGTGAAGCAGAATTCAGTTGCTTGGGTCTGTTTAGTATCAGTGTTCTCACAAACGACTTCTCCTCCACCAAAACCTACAAAAGAAAGCCAAAGTAAATCGAATCCCCAACATAAGTTCTTGAAGGACTAGAATACCCAGTTGCTATAATCATCCAGAGAATGGTATTCCGACGCTCTAGAGCACAAAACGGCAGTGCCCCAATCAGCAGAACAACACCCCCAAGCTTCACCCCTCAGCAATTCCAAGCTAAAACCAGATTTTATCAGACACCCAACATTATTTGGACCATGATCGTGTCCCCAAGATTGAAACCCACCCGCAATTCAAAGCAGCAAGGACAGTCAAAACTCAGCAGCATGGCATAGTCGCATTCTTCTGCTAAAGTAATGGAGCTCGGTGGTACCTCATCTTCCTGGCCACTGCCGGAGGAGAAGGAAGCCATGGAACTCGTGCTTGTCGGTCGAGCGCGGCGGCGGAGTGCCTCCTCCTCCTCTGCTCCGTCTCCTCAGCGGCGGCGGCCGACGACTCGATCACGCCCATCTTAACTACCGAACGGTCCGATGCCGTGGGGCGCACAAACAAACCGTTTGTTTCGCACAAATTCAATAATTTTAAAAAATATATTATCCTAAAACAATTAATAAATGAAAAGTATTTTTCATTTATTTTTATAAGTAAAATGAGCGATAATTTTTTTTCTTTCAAAATATCCATTTTTCTCTATACAAATGGAGCATTAATTCGTCGGGTTTATTAACCGTAACATAGATTTATATTTTTATATACATCCGATTTAAGCTCGCTCCCCCTATTTTTATCGGCCTTATTGATAGAAATAAATTCGATCATATTTAATCGTATATTTTTAGCATCACCCAAGGTGGAGACAAAAGTCGATGTTAAAGTGCATATTTTTACGGTAGAGACAAGTTCAAAGTTTAATATGCATCACGCTTTTAAGATGCTTGCTATTAAAATGACACATACGGGTCGCTCCAACGAGAGAGTGATTCACGCAATTCAAGACTTGTTTGAGAATTGAGATAATACTTTGTTTAGCATATCACCATCTAAATTGACCAACCCCATGGGTTAAACCCTCAACATGTGTTCAAAGCCTGCTTACACTTTCAAGAGAAAAGGAAACCAGAAAAATTAGTGATGAATGCAAATGGATTTCTGTTTCCAATCAAAGACACTTCCAAACTATTGCACCCTGCTTGACTCACCCTATTAGTTTGGGGTTCCCGGTCCGATACCGATCCCACCCTAGAAATCGGGAATCGGATCGGGAGGACTGATTTCCAGGGAGCCGGACAGTTCGTTTAATGAAATTAGTGACTATAACTTTCTTTTCTCAAACAAAAGTACAATACGAAGCAAAAGAAATCTAGATTAGAGAAGCACTGCTATGCAAAAAGCAAATGCTAATAATTGCAAAGCTTAACACCGTGGACGACACGGTGAGATGAGAGAGAGGAAGAATAAAGATTACTCAGGTTAGAGTTTACTTGATATTATTCTTTAAGAAATTATAAAATATAAAAAAAATGTAACCGGTCTAGTTCCCACCTTGAAACCGAGAACCAGATAAGTGACCTTTGGTCCGGTTTGAGCGGTTCCCAGTTCGGGCAGTTCCCGTTGCTGACTCCTAGTACAACACGACATGAGCAACCGGGGAAAGGGACAGTATAAATAACATTCCTCTCAGACGACGGTCCAGCTAGCCGAGAACAAACGCACGACATAGATGGTTACCGATCCTACTACGAAACAGGACTTTCTATTGGCCAATATACGGTAAGAAAGTCGATAGGATTCATGTATAAGTTACTACAAAAACGTGCAGAAGCATGTATCTGCGAAGCACGCGGAATGCATAATCTCTACTTACACGCAAAGATTTAGTTTTGAGTCGAAACAATCTGAACAGGAAGTTTCTCAAACAGATTACCACGGTTCTGCTTCGAGATATCCATAAAAGATAGATGATTCGATCAAAAAAAGATATGCCATGATTTTGGTTCCTTAGAAGGTTAAATTTACGAAGATCATACACGAGCTGAAATAAGATCAATGGGAGTCACTCGTATTGATGAATGGAGCAATTGCTCTAGATGCACAACACAAGGATTGTTCGACTTAACTCTTCGGCCGTCCATCTCCAGCCATTGACCTCATGTCGGACTGTGTCTAAAGTTCGATGTAGCGACAACCTTTTCCATAACTCATTATCTGGACAGTTATTCTGCGTCATGCAGGCACCGCTTAATTTATTGACAGCGAAAATCTGCCATACTGAGAGTTACAGCTTTGCGATAGCAGATGCAGGCAAGTTCGATCTGGGGGGTAGCTTTAGATCCTCCCAGTCTTCATCATCCACCTTGGAGAAGTACTTGTCGACCATCTTGTCACTGACAAGCTCCAATCTAGGAGGCTCCCACTGCAAAAGAGAAGGATGAAAATCTCTGCAAAGCAACTCATGACAAGGGAAGAAAAAGAATAGGAACGATGCCGAAAAATTGGTAAAGAACGCTCGTCAAACCTTTGGGTTCCTATCCTTATCCACTAGAATGGCTCTGCAGCCCTGCATTACATGGACGAGTGTCACTTTATCGACTGGATTCAAAGGAAACTATACAACAAACATCTGGTTAATTACAGAACCTCAACAAAGTCCTTGCTGACTTCGCCTTGCATTACGTGGCAAACCATTCTGTATTCTCGTACAAGGCACTGCCCAACTCCTTGTAGTCGACCTTCTCTTATCTGCAATTGCCAGATCGATGCTCATTAGTATGGCCATTTCACAATTTTTAAACAGGTCACCTGCCTAACCGAAATCCCCACTTATCTCTAATATCAACCAAGGCAATTGAACAACTTCACAAACTATTGCAGTAAAATGCTCTTTTAGAACAAATTGAGTGATTGTAGATACTCTGGGCACTCTGACCTTTATGAAAGGATAGGGAATCGAATTCTACTATTGCACACTGACTCGAGTAGTCTGTGAGCAAATACTGCCCAGCCCTACTATGAATTTTGGCCATCTATCACAGGTATTTAAGTTAATTCTTATTCTCTGCATTTTAATCAATACTGGTGGCCATTATCCAGGTCAGAGACACTAATGCACATGGTGTCGTTATAGGCATATGCCAGCACGTGTAAAAGTTAAATTGAGCATACAGTTGTCATGATATTCGTTCCAGTAGGCGATCCGCGGCAAAAAGAGAAGAAAAGGACATCTTGGTTTTCCAGTACAGTAATGATGTCATTCCCGTTAGCTGACATTACAAAAAGAAGTTGGTTGGCAATCTTAGATGGAGATCATTCGAACATATTCACATTACATTGTCTATAAGTTGTTAGTTTTTTCTGACCAAAAAAGAAAAGTTATTAGTTGTGTTGAAAATTGCACTGCTGATATCTCATCAAAAGATTCAGCAATCTCACCGATCTAAGAGAAATTTTAAGGCTTGTTGGTGATGCTTTCTTCAATGACTGAATTGAGGCGACGATCCAATCATCTACCTTATTTGTGGCTTCTCGCTCCTGCAAAAGAGAGATCGAGGAAGTGGTGAAATCAACATAATATGCACAGATCAGCATAGAGAAATTACCCCATAAAAGAGCTCATGCATGTACATATGCAGAGGCCCTTTCTCATGAACACAACGAGGACTGGAAATGGAGAACAAAATCACCAACAGCTTACAAGAGCAGATAAAATGTCTTCCACAGTTCTTCGCGAGAAGCACCTATTGATGACAGCCAACCTGTCAAAAACACAATTGGAAAATGATGAATGAGACATTGATTGCGAGAGTGAGTCAGCAGGATCTGCCACTAGCCACTCAAGCTTCATGATTAAAGTTGGAAGTCTACACACAGTTACCAGTACATCATAGAGGATATAAAGTTGTGCTATGTCTACACATCCTTGGTTTGGTAAAACTGCACGTTTTGTTCACTTAATTTCCTTTCTTTCTTTCATGTTGTTTTGTTTTGTCTATAACTAATTTATCCTCTTCCACATGAATAAGGTTTTAAGGTTTCTTGGTATTTTCTAGATAAGAACATTTGTGTATGGACTGCTAGACAAAACTATCCAGAGAACTCAACAAGAAAATACAGGAAATCGTAGGTCAAAACTAACCGGTGGTATGCACTTTGCTCTTTCAACATAGGCAGCTCAGAGTATTCACCAATGATTGCTGAAATTACAGCTTGATCGCTAGAATCTACCATGTGTAGAGCTGCTTCGAGTGACGGCAATTTCTGAACCACCATGAATATACAAAGACATCAGAAAACCATAGGAAATGAGAGCGAAAATCAACATGTGTTGTCCAGCACAACAACACAGGTAACTATTATAAATTTAGCATTGGCCTAGCATTCCCAAATTAGCAACAACAATATGACTAAGCATTTTCACTTCTATCTGAGTGTAATTTACATGAGCATTCCTTCTTACGTATCTTTCGAAGATTCCATCCCTTACAAAACCTCAAATGCCAGGATTTTCCCCCAAAACTTTGAACTTATGCATAGTTTATCCACAGATCCCAACATGGCACACTTCCAAACAGTCACATTTTATCCATGAAACATGAGGAGGCCATCTTAGGTTGAATTTCCCATGTCTTACCGACAGGAATATCCTTGAAGCTTTTTAGAATGAGCATTCAGTTCTAATTTTTTCATTTGTGCATATCGACCAAGCAAGTAGTTCTCTCAGCCACACTGTCTAATTTTCACATCTAATCTTTTATCGCATAATATTCAATGATATTCAGTGTCACTATATCTATCAGTACTAATGTGGTCCTATATGGTTTCCAACCAACATACTATACTCCTAATGCCCCCACCCCTCAACACGCCCCCCCCCCCCCCCCCCCAAAAAAAAAAGAGAGAGAGAGACCTTTCTCCCAACAAGACATAACTAAAAATAAAAAGAAATTGAAAGGAAATCATTTCCTGTTGGAAAACAATATAACGAAATAATCCAGCTTTCAGCACATCTCATTCCGTCAACATGACAACATTCTTCCAACAAACAACCAGACATTTCCCAGCTCTGAGTGTCTAAATGTATCGAAAAAAAGGCATGCTTTCTCTACTAAGCTCTAATTGTACAGGTTGTAACGGTCTTCTATACTTCCTTTTTTCTTTGCTCCTGACAACTTCTTCACCTTTCCTTTGGCAGAACTTCTCCAACAACCGCTAGTACAAAAGTTCATATTGGTCTTCGGTGCTTCGTCTATTCCCTTTTTCCCCCTGTAGCTTCTACATTCATCAAGCAATAATCATAAAACTGAAGTAAAAGCAGATGGATACCGCTGAGGGAACCAAGTGAGTTGCAAGGCCACATGCAAGCATCTCTGCTCCATCCAATCTAGCACCAGTAAGACCAAGATATTCCCCTGGCACAGATAATAAAGAAGCATGGTAGATTTCAATATTTAGACAAGACATTGGGGTTACAAGTGCAACAGAATACATACAATCTAAAACGAATATGTGTAACTTACCCAAGAAAATACAAGACTATATGAGCTGAAATCTAATGCATGATTGTTATCTTCAGTATTGCAAGATATATAAGCTGAATCTAGTCCACAGGGAAAATGGTTCTTGCATGTCAAGATCAGGTTTAGTTGCAAACTGAGAGAATCTCTAATTTTGATACAAGAGGATAAGAGATTAAGGGTAATAGAAAAAAAAAAACATCATTACGCAGGTTGATACAGAGAAATTAAAACTATAACCCTGGACTTCACGTTAGAGATGTGCATATCAGATTCTTCTCTTTTCTAAACACTAAATTGAATAACATAGAGTCTCAGATCCAAATCTATCAAAATCAAAATCCGAAATCTCTTCCACAAGTTCTCTCGTGCAATTTGTGACTGCTGTTAACAATTCAAGTCAAGGCACCAACGATATAATTTATGATTTTTAAGGTCAAGATCACAAAGCCACAAATGAAGTGCCAGCAGAAGCACAAAACAACTGAATGCAGTCACACTCACACTTGTGTGATTCATCTTTCAGCTTTAAACGGGAAGAAAAAGAAAAAGAATTAATGTGCATATTCCAGCTGGGATTTTTTTCCATCTTCCATAAAGGAGCGACCGAAACCAAGGTTTAACCCAAAACACCAAAAAGTACATTATTTCGTTCTCATCACCCTCCAGGTTATATTCAAAGTGTAAAAAGTGGATGGTCGCTAAAGTATGTCAACCCTGCATTGCATCAAGTAGCATCAACTAGCCATATAATCACTATTATTTATCATTTGTCGCCTTCATCGATTGCACTGTTTGTCCTCTTGACATATGAATTGAGGCAAATTTCCTTATCTCAAGTTATCTAATCTTCCGAAGAATATGCTTCCGAAATACCATATCAACACAGTAGCAAATCTGCTATATTTGCAGAATACAAGATGGAAGCCCACCAGTTTATGATATGTTGACTCAAGAACTCAAATGTTTTGGTTGTCACGTAAGTTTCTGAGTCAACCATAGTTAGGACTAGCACATCCACGAGCACTACCAGTAGAATGCTACTGACACAATTAACAACCAAACCTCTACTCAATAAGTATATCTACATACTTCCAGAAGTTAGAAACTTTTTATCTTCAATCAATATTGACTCGTAAAACTCGATGTGAAAATAAAGTACCCTTTTCTATTGTTGGCCATTACCAAAATGTCCCGGGAGCCTTGACAGGAAATATGAGGCACCTATGTCTGGAAAGAGACCCAGAGCTGTTTCAGGCATAGCAAAAACCTGCAACGAGGTTAACCAAACTATGCTGATAAAAGCTGCTGGAAATCTTGATAAGAATGCTGTTTAAGGAACAAGAAACTGGACAATCAACACCACAGTGGCACCCACCAAATGCTTGCTTACATGAGGCACTCAAATTAACACATATCTGCACTACCGGTTAGATACTCTAGGTTATGTAACCAATTGCATAACAAGTGGTAAAAGGTACTGACAAAATAATCATTGTATGTTATGTGGTAAAAGGTACTAAGAAAATAATCATTTTAGGTTCCACAAGCAAACATCTGTTTTAAAAATTGCCAATAGACATCTACCCTGCCTTACCCATTAAGCAAACAAGAATTTCAATCTCCTTAAGTGGGGTCAACTGATCTCAAGTCACTATTTCAGATAATATATAGGTGCATATAAGTGTATGCACAGTAAATCTATGAAAGTCTTGTATTAACTTCTGTGGAATCTTGCCCACCTGGATATGTATATTATCCATGCATTGAAGTTAGGGAAACATTCTACTATTCAAATATACATGCTCTTTAGGGAATAACAATATTCATGAAATCCCCATATGTAGCCCAAGAGGGGAAAATGGCAGGCTACGCTCCATTGTACATTCTCTGCAAGAACTCTAACATTCAATGACACTGTAAAGTTTTTCATTCATGGTGTAAAATGAGGGTCTATGCTTGAAGAGTCTAGGACAATTTAAGAATAAGCACTTAATTAGGTATCCGTCACACTCGGTAGTAACTGTTTTGGGCACCTGAGCTCTCATATTCTTCTGCTGTCACCTTATTTGTGTACCTCCTATCATCCTCCTGCTTCAAAAACATGCTGATGACAGTAGGAATAACTGATTTATCTGGGTCTGTGACTCTGTGTGCTTCACTGAATCTTGTTCAACCCCACTTCTAGTGATAATAATCATAAATTCTTTCATTTGCACTACCAGCCAACCATGATTGGGCGGACAATAATATTATATCAAAATGCATCATCATGATCTTTTTTCAACCAGAATTTGAAAAGGGAAAACATGTTCTATTCATGGGAGATGTCAGTTAATTATTCACCAGCATTTTTGGTAGATAATTAAGCTGTGGATCAGCCATAACTAATGAAATGGTAAGCAAGATTAATGCCATCAACAAAGTGCCTAAAGCAAAAAATATTCTTTTTTTTTCCTCTAAACCAGACAAGCTTAGAAGTAACCAGTGTGCTACAACACACCAGTGACTGCAACAATAGAACATTCCCAACCTAACTATAACAGTAGGTTTCCTAACAAATGAAAAAGAAATGCAAGCCAACATAAAGAGGCAATACCGAATTTTCTGTTGCCACACGAAAACTACCATGTACAGAACAGCCAGCCCCTCCTCCCATGACAATGCCATTCAAGATTGAAACCTTCATTAAAACCAGCACGTAAAAAGTAAGACTACACATATGGAACAACCAGCCCCTTCACTAACATTGATGTCACTATTATGAACTCTCAAAAAGATACGTATAATAATATCAGATCACCTGAGGTTTACTGTATGTTGCCATCAGATAATTTAAAGTGTACTCCTTCCGAAAGAAGATCGCACCCGACTTCCATTTTCCTAGCACATTTACAGAAACCAATATTATCAACAATCATGAGTTTTTAAAGTCCGAACAAATACTATATAAATTGCATATACGAGAGATCAAGCCTCGTCTGAAACTGATGGACAACGTGATCTTTTTGATAGGTTAATGAAGGAAGGATCAAGAGGATTGGCACCATTGGCACATGAAACTTCACCGTGAGACAAGGGAAAACTGCATGCTTAAGTGCATCTACTTATAACGAGATAAAAGTACAATTTCGCCCTATTTTTTACTTTACATGTAATAACTAAAATGATCTGTACCGTTGTTGATATCACGCACAACAGCTGCGACATCACCACCAGCACAAAAAGCTCTCCCTTTTCCCTACAGAAACAGAAACACAAACAAAACAGTCGATTCTGAGACGATAATGGCCACAAGATCTAAAAATGTCAAGCTATGATTAAGGTATTGCAATCTAAAGGAGCCAACGATCGTCTCCTCAATTTCAGCCAATGCCAACAAGACCAATCTGACAACTGTTCTTCAATGCAATATCGAATTTGAGAAGAAAAGCATGGCTGTGTAACCTATATAGATGAGCACTTGGTTGTGGCTGATATGAACTACTTCAATGACAGACATGTTTGGGTTGTTTACCCTTCCAAATGATTGACCAATGCAAATTTGTAAATAGCCAACAATAATTCGAAGCCATAGTACACCCTCTGCAACTCAGAACCAGACATTTGAAAGGCCATCCAACTCCCAAAAGCTCCAGAATTATTTCCCATATTGTATACCACTAGTCCCCATGTATATGATATGTGACCCAAAAAATAGGTATTTAAATGCAGTCAAAGACGTTAACAAAACATAATTTACCTTGCTGCTCAAGGATATCAATAAATTGACTATACATTTTGTAAAATATATAAAAATGAGCGCACAGCCCTAAATGGTACACCAGCAAAAGAAATTTTCACCAAACTAAATCCAATAAACTCTAAAAATCTTCACAGTGGGCCACAAAAGTCTATCAATCTCCCAAAAGACAATCTCAAGGCTAACGATTCTGATATTTCCACTTGTGCAAATTGGAGAGCTATTAACGGTCAAAAAAAAGAAAAAGCTTTGTAGGATGCAATGTACCTTTAAGATTACCAACTTCACATTAGAATCCTTCTCATAAAGAAGGAAAAGTTCCAATAACGGAGATATCTGCAAATAAAAGCAACAAATAGTTATACAATAACCACATAAGCAAACAAAGCTTAATTAAAAACGCGAGCTATTGAGGTTTGAGACGACCAAGAGAAGTCAAATATGTCTTGTACACATACTTTAATTATTTGAAATGACAACAGAACCCAACTGCCAACAAAGTGGCTACCACAATCAAAACAGGCATAAAAGGCATCCAAAAAGCTATAAACAACGGTACTACTGCATGACAATTCCGCAGATATATTTTGGTGGATGCAACAAAAAGAGGCTATTCAGGCTGAACTATGCTACAAAAGCAGGATTTACAGCATCCTTGACATGTACTGGGTGTTGCCAGATTTGGTTCTTGATCTTATAGAACAACTTTTTTCCCTGTGATCTTTCATAATGTGTGCTTCCAAAGTTTGTACAAAAGGTGCACATTCATTACTGCCTAGCAAAGGAATAAAAAACCCAAAAATTTAAGCAGAACACTTCTCCTGCTCTTAGCAAAACCCCATGCAGTCTCCAAGGTATTCATCAAATGCAAGACAAGAGCAGGAAAATGTACCAACTTCAAATAATAGAGTAGATAATGCTATCAGATATTTAGCTGATCCTGTGTGATAAACGCTGATGAATAGTTTTGCATTGTGGAAAGAGCTTTCTTGAGAGTGCCGGTTTTCAGGTGCTATATGATAGGAAAACTCAACATATAAATCACATGGCCATTTGATAAAAGCAAACACCCATGAATAGAGTGAAAAGCCTCGACAGAGAGACAGCAAAATGGCAACAACAGAACAAAAGAACCCCACGCAACACTCCCAACCAAACAGTAAGAATGACGGAAGACCCAACTGCACAGAGTATCCAGCAGCCAGAAAAGAGACATACCATATCGAATGAAAGAGCATTCAGTTGCTTGGGTCTGTTTAGTATCAGTGTTCTCACAAAGGACTTCTCCTCCACCAAAACCTACAAAAACACAACGTACACCGAATCTCCATCACAAGTTCTTAAAGGAGTACACAACTCGAGTTCTGTCGTGCTATAATCATCCAGAAAATAGTACTCCCGCGCTCCAGAGCACAAAAACGCAATGTTCTAATCAGCGGAACAACATCTCGCGCTTCATCAGCTAAAACAGGATCTTTTTAAGCACCCATCATCATTCGAACCATGATCGTGTCGCCAAAAGTTGATCCGCGGGCAATTCACGGCTCACCCATTACCGGGGGCAACAAAGACCACCCCTCTAGTATCGTTGCCTTCTACGTAAAGCAACAGAGCTCGGTACCTGATCTTCCTGGCCATTGCTGGAGGAGAAGGAAGCCATGGAGCTTGTTCTTCTTGGTCGAGCGTGGAGTGGTTACCCTTCTCTGACTCCTCGAGAAAATGGTAGGAGGCAGAGTCAAACACGACTCAACCGGGAACTCCTCCACGACGAAGCTCACGGAGAAACCACACGTGCGCAGCTCACCAAACGTCCGCTCAAGTACTCAATCGCTAAGGCACAGAAACAATCACGGTATTTTTGGTCCGATACGCACCGTCATCTTCAAATTTTTAATTTGGTTAACGTGATCTTTGAACTTTATTATAATACGTAACGTGATTCTTGAATTTTTAACTTATTCAATTTGATTCCTAAATTTTTTACACATATTTAATTTAGTCCCTAAGCTATAAAAAAAAATTCAAAGTTGTCATTCTAATTATTCAAGTTCAAGGACAAAATTGTACATATACCAAAAGTATGAGAACCAGATTCATTGCACATTATATCAAAGTTCAGGGATCATTTGTATCATTTTCCCTTCCGGAATAATTATGAAAAGAGGGATATGTAGGAATTATTTGTTAGTATATAAAAATAATAAATAAATGTATCATGACTAAATATTTGGGTTAATACCGCAAAAAATCCAAAACTGATACGCCGGTGACAATTTTACCCCAAACTAATTTTTTGACCACCAAAAACCCCAAACTGGTACACCTGTGATAAATTTACCCTCAATTTATTTTCATTAAATTTTATTATTAAATTACTTTGTTAAATGATACGCGGCAATTGACGGAAGTACTAAATTTATGTTTTACCCTCCGTTTATCACAGTCGTACCAGTTTATGATTTTTTGTGATATTAATTCAATTTAATAGAAACGAACGGAGGGTAAATTTGTCACAAATGTATTGGTTCGGCATTTTTTGTGATCAAAAAATTAGTTTTGGGTAAATTTGTTACACGTGTACCAGTTTGGGGTTTTTCGTGATAAAAAAATTAGTTTAGGATAAAATTGTCGCAGATGTACCAGTTTGGGGTTTTTCGTGATATTAACTCATATTTTTATGTATTTAAATAAATATAAAATAAGAATATGAGCGAAAAAGAATAATAAATTAATCCGAATTCCTCCATGTGTCGAGGGATGCGAAAGGATTTATAAGACATGAAATTAATCGCACTAATCGCTTCTAATCCTTTTTAATCATTTCCCTCCGTTCTTTCCCTCGTCCAAACAAACGTACCGTCAACAACGCGTCGGTGAAAATCAATCAGCCGCCAGAGCAAAACATGACGTTTTGCGATGTATGCACGTGTAATTTTCCGTGAATTCGGAAAAGGGCGACTTAAACGGTCGCGTCGGCAATTTTAGACCGTGATTCCGACAGAAGGGACCGGTCCGAATAAAAAAAAATGCATATAATGACCTAATTGTCAAAAAAATGAAAAAGTTGATCGGACAGAATGGGCCGGTCCGATAAATCGGATTAAAGTTCAAAAAAAAATGCATATTTTTTTGAAACCCCACGCTCACTCGCCGTCATCTTCCCCCCACCTTACCAAAAATTCCTGCCGTGAATAGCAAAAAAAGAAAAAATTGACGGACCAAATTGGTTAGTTTGCAATGATTTAAGGGTTTTTGGTAGTTTTTGCCCGGACGACGGAAACAAACCAGAAAAGCAAAATAAGTGGATGTCTTAATTGGAAAATGGGCTTGGTGAATAGAGTTAAAATTGATGTGTGTCATGGACTTTAGGCCTATCAAGCTTAAATCGTCCTCGTTGCTGCTAAACTCGACGAAGATTAATCTGTTTCGGCTAATTTTTCTCCTAACTTTAATTAAAATGAGATTTTCCAGGCAAATTTTTTTTTTAAAAAAAAATAAAGAGGCAGAAGAGTCGAAAAGAAAAGAAAGAAGAAAAGCATGTTATGCTAGAGGGGGCTTAAGGTTAAGGGGGCGGGCCGGGCGGCCCCACGGCCCCCTGCTTCGCCGTTGAGTGTCGCCGGCCGAATACCCCTCCAGCCCAATCCTCGAATCCCGATCTGCACTTTTATTTCTATTTTGGCCTCTCCATTTGAATCCTCTTTCTTTTTAATTCTATATCCTTTTTTATTTATTTGTTTTATTTTATTTTTTGAACTTTTTTTTGAACATTTCGAGCTTTTTTTGGATGCGGCGCCAATCTGACGCCCCATGCTTTCAAAAAAGAAAAAAGAAAATGCCACGTCACTAAATTCTATAATATTTAAATTGGACGAAATTAATGGAAGGACTCGATTGCACCAATTTGGTAAGTTTTAAAAATTGATTGCAATTTCGCGATAAGTTCTAGGATTTTAATTGCGCTTATCCCCGAAATGTACAAACCGATGTTAGAATATATTACAGGTAAAGCTTATGCTAAAGTGTAGTATTTTTAGCAGTGACTAGTTCATAATATAGTATACTAATGGAAAGGTTTGATTATATCAATTTATTTAGTTTTAGGACTTCATTACACTTTCACAAAAAAGTTTAAGGATTTCGAATACGCTTATCCCCAAAATCTAAAAACCGACGTTAGAATATTATAATTTGCCCAAAGTGAAGGTAAAATCTTATCCGAAGTGTAGTATTTTAGCAACGACAAGTTTAAAGTATAGCATGCGTCACACTATAAGATATGTTTTATTAAAATAAAACATATGGGTCGCTCCAATTAGAGTGATTCGTGCCTTGCAAATCATTACTCTTTCAAGGATTAAGATAGTATTTAGTTTGCATATAACCAATGAGATGAAATTCCAGATATTTGATTTCTAATTAACCAACCATGAGTTAAACTCAAATATATTTTTCGGAGCCTGTTTCATTATCAAAAGAAATTGTGAAAATTCTCAGTGATAAATTGCAAACGGGTCTCCGTTTCCTATCAAAGACACTTCCACAAACTCTTCTCCACTTCGCTTAACCCACTGAGACCCCGTTTGGTTTAGCATTTGGAATGCTCATTTGGGCTCTAAAGTCCCTTAGCCAAATGCAAATGGTGTTTGACAAATTTTTTTACTCATTTTGGAGAGATGCAATTGCATTTGGAATGATTTCTAAGGGACTTTTGGCCAATGTAAGGGTGAAGGTGCTTTGAGAAGTTGCATTTTCGGAATGCAACTTGCATTGTTCATCGTGACTGTTCATCTTTCCCAGACCGAGGTCCAGTGGCTGGCGACCGCCGCTTGGGGGGCGCGCGATCCCGGTGGCCGCCGCCTAGGGTCGCCGGACCTCGGGCTCACCTGGGTCGCCCGACCCAAGCGACGCCCAAGGTCCGTCCGATGGCCCCAGGCGACGGTTGCCGGGGTCGCGCGACCCCAGGCGGCGGTGGCCGGTGGTTAAGCTCCATCGGAGCTTTTGTTTTTTTATAAAAAATATTAGCAAAAGTCCTTTAACCCAAGTTGATTTTAAAAAACACTTACCAAATACTACTTGCATTTCGGAAAACCACTTTAGCCCAAAGGTATTTGCATTCCCCCAAATGCATTCCCCCAAAGTCGAACCAAACGGGCCCTGAACTGGTCTTGGTTCAACACAAACATGAGCAAAAGCAGCAAAAGGGACAGTGGCCCTCTGTGAACACATTCATCTCAAGCGATGGTCGAGCTAGCTGAGAACGTTATGCACCTTAGATGATTACCGATCTGTTGAGAGTACTTGGCTAATAGGGGCATATTTGTCTATTTCCTTTATTGTTTTATATATTGCAGCAATAAGGGTAATATTGTAATTTTGACCTTTTTGGCTTTATTATAAATAGATAGCTTGGGGTCACATAGACCTAACCAAGCATTCATTTATGTTTTTCCTCTCAACATGATATCAGAGTCAGATCTGAACTGAAACCCTAACCCTAATATCTCCTATGCGCAACCTTTCTTTTTCCTTTCTTCACGCCTTCAGTCTCTCCCACCGCAGTTCTTTCTCATCTTCTCCTTTGCTCTCTTTCACAGTGTAGGGCAGCACTAATGAGGTGATTCTTCGAATCTAGTATTTGCCCTAAACTTCACCTCTATGACATAACTAAAACTTCTTTGCAGTCCGCGATAGGTGGTTCAACTTCTTCTACGATTTTTTGGATCTTCTTGTCTGGAATTGTTTCTGCCTTGCCGCTGGCGTACAGTTCTCTCGTGTGTGAAAACCAAAGCATTGCAGTTCGTGGACCACCATATTTTTTCAGATTCTTTGGGATAAATTAGAATTATCGATTTTTTTCAAGTTTTATAAATCTTGAAAAAATCGATTTTTTTCTTCCCTTGATCTAATCTTGCTGATTTTTTGGAGGATATTTTTAGCCTACTACCAGTGATACAATGTCTGACGGTTCAGTTGAGAACCCTCCACCTACAGGAGATGGCCGTACAAATTATATTACTTTCGCTACAATCTCTGTGAAGCTCGACGGCACAAATTATTTGATATGGTCTCGATTTGTATTCTTGACCATTGTAGGCCGTGGGCTTACAGGTCAGATTAACGGCACTTCTGTGAAGCCGGAAACATCAGGTGCTACTCAAGACAAGTGGATCTCGAATGACTCTTTGGTAATGTCTTTTTTGCTTAACTCGATGTAGCCACATATTGCAAAAGGATATTTGCTTCTTGATACTGCGGCACAAATTTGGTCAGCTGCTGGGGATACTTATGGTTAAATCGGG